AGATGGGGGTCTGAGGGCCACCCTCGGCCTTTTTAAGTTTTGTTTTTTTTTTAACTAGCAGACAGAGTTATAAAACGAGTGGCTAAAACAGTAGCTTCTGCTGGAGAGGCAGGGTCTACCCTAGTGTACTGGGCTAAGGCCTCAGTCAAGCGTGAAAGAAAAGCTGCAGGTTTTTATCTGTCTGCTAAATAACCTCTTGCAGCTTGTCAAAGTTAACTGCTTTATCAGAGATGGCTTGCAAGCTAGCCAGCAAACATCGTATCATGCGGTCTCAGGGAGCCTTGCCTTCTCCTTCAGCTTGGGTATCTGTTTGATAAGTCCGAGCTGGCTCCTCCCTAGGAGCTGCCTGAGGGCTTATGGGCATGGTGGCATCTGTGAGGTGGGCCTGGTCTGCATGCTGCCAAGCAGCGGTAGAGACCCACTCCCACACGACAGGGGTAAAGGTGGAAGTGAGGACTACATAAAGATTATGCCAGGTTAAAGGTATCAGAACTCCTTAATAAAGGTGGTAGGGTCCTGTGAGAAAATACCCAGCTGCTTCTTACAAAGGCTGCGACTGGGGGGGGCCTGGGAGGCTGTGGGTGTTGCTTCAGAGGAGGTTGAGTCGGGAGGGAGAGACAGAGAGAGACTCTGGGGAGTCTGATAGTTTGGCTCAGGGGAGGGGACAGGTATAGGAGGTGCAGTCGCCTTGGGGAGGGGATGGGTGTCGGAAGCACAGTTTCCTTGGTTTTGGGGAGTGCCTGTTCTGGGAATTGAGCCAAAAGTACTTGTGCAGATTGGCAAGAGATACAAAGAGATGGACGGGAGTGGAGAAAGAAAAGCCTGAACGTATGGCATCTTAGACCATTATGGGGCTTGGTGTCAGAAGTTGTTGAGGTCACAGAGAATATTGAAATTGAAAGTACTGTTTTCTGGCCAGTGCGACCCTTTGTCTAATTGGTATTGTGGCCACACTTGGTTACAGAAAAGGACCAGATGCTTAGGGTGAATGTCTGGAGCCAGGCCCAGATCAGTGAGCTTGGTCAGGAGGCATCCCAAGGGACTCTCCCTGGGAGGCTTCGAGAGTGAGCTTCCCATGGTGTCTTAAACTTCAAGGGGTCTGGTCAGAGGAGAAGGACGTCTCCTGATCCCCGTCCACACCCATCAGTCAGGAGTTGGCCTGGTAACCCTGAGAGGCATCCAGGTCAGAATTAGGGTCCCCGTGGGAGAGTCCTGGACTTCCTGGAACAGGAAGGTTCCCTGGCGCAGGCCTGCAGCTTAAACCAGCAGACAGGGACCTTGGGTCAGTGACAGTGAAAAACACCGCAGGAATCTGGGGGGG